TGCATGCATGTCTTGTTCTTTGACTTCTTGTGTGTGTTTTTTTGCCCTTTCTTTGGGGGGTACTCTTTGGCCATGCTGATCTCCACTGAGTTTGTAACAACACCACTTGCTCAGGCTGAATTTCCGCTGAAATGATTTCTTTGGATTTCCTCCCAGCCTATCCTACTCACTTGTACCGATTATTGCCACATAAGGACACCCTCAGTTTCCTGGCCTGTCCTTCTTTTCTTTCCTTCATTCTTTTCTTCCCTTCCTTCTTTGTTCTTATGCCAAGGATTGAGGATAGGTAGGACACCAAGGTCAGAAGGGTTCATGCCCTTCAGGGATACAGATGACATGGGGATAGGAGGCAGAGGAAATGCTGGGCCTAGGTAGATATGGTGGGAAGGTGTGAGTAAGTAACAGGGGGTCCGAGGGGCTGCTAGGACACCCCCTTGATCCCTTAGGGGTTGTCCTGCAGTGTGCCTGGGTGCTGCTGGTAAGCGTCCCGACTTTCAGGACAGCCCCTAAGGACAGGCCAAAGGGGGGGGAGCGGGTGGTCCTGGAGCAACACCCCCTTGGATAGGCGGCTCGAGCCACAAGGGTAGGCTGACTATATTTTCTGTCTAATCCCCCCCCCCCCCGCGGCTTGTTTCAAAAAAACTTTGCTTGCCGGTGAGAGGCAACCAGACTGATGCCCCCCAGAATAGAAGAGGCTGGGAAAAAGAAAAAAAGAAAAAAAGAAAAGAAAAGAAAAGAAAAAAGAATGTACTGAAATTCTGCTTGGACTGTTTATGGCCTGCAGGTCTTTGTTTGGAATCTAGATACGCAGCTTGCACGACAGACTGTTCCGGGGGCAGTCCCCTCCAGGCCTGATCTGGTAATTGACACAATGGCACATATTGTCATATAGTGACATATACCCTTTATCTTTTTATTTCTCTTGTATTTCCCTCCCCACCTCTCTCTCTCTCTCTCTCTCTCTCTCTCTCTTTCTCTCTCTCTCTCTCTCTCTCTCTCTCTCTCTCTCT